CCCCCACCCCCGCACATGTAAAAATGCCCCCAGTAAAAAATATTCAGAATGCATGCTAGGTAGTAATTATCTAGCTTACATTAGGGACCAATGCTGCAAAAGGATAAGCTTCAGTAATGGTTGAGTTTGGTTCTCAGCAAATCACAGGATCATGTCCATCATTACAGTGCTGTATAGCCGTAGTTGTGGCAGCATGGCCTCTGTCCTATGAAATGCTCAGAATCCTATACTCCCACTGGAGTTTGCAAAGTGAAGCTCCTAATGCATAATTTCTGAGGTACATACTATAGCCATGCCAAATAGTACAATTTGATCTCTTGAGGGGTAATGAATGAGAAAAGGAGGAGGAAGGGACCCTGTAGCAATAAATGAAAATATTGAATAAAGAAACCAGATTTTCTTAATCATCCAACAGAAATTATTCTTTTAAAGCAAACTGAGATAAACAGACAGCTGCCTCACAATATCAAGGCTTCTCTTCTATTTTGCAACCTCTTTTACCCAGTATTCCTGTTTTTTTGTTTTTTGTTTTTGTTTGTTTTTGTTTGTTGTTGTTGTTGTGTGTTTTTTTTTTTTAATGGATTCCAAAGTGAATGCAGTATCTGAAAGATAAATATGTAAATTTAGGGAAAATTATATTTTACATTTAAGGTAACTACTGATGTCACAGTAAGACATTCACTTGGCGTTCTTTCATTGTATACAGTCAAGTAAAAATGTTGATGTCTCAAGATCACTAAATGGCTGGCATTAATTATATAACATAACTAAACATTTGTAAATTAAACACAATTTGTAATTCAGTTGTATCTTGACAAAGCGGAGGAGCATGAAGACTTGTTACTAAAATTCAAGTGATAAGGAACAAATTATATAAAGTCAATAACATCCTAGATGTTCATAGATTCATAGATTAAGGGTCGGAAGGGACCTAGTAGATCTTCTAGCCCGACCCCCCGCCAGGATGGGAGAACAACAAAAACCCCAAAAACAAGAAACGGGACTCATTTGAGTCCAGCCAGGTAGGCATCCAGCCTCTTCTTAAAGACCCCCAGGGTAGGGGCCAGCACCACTTCCCTTGGAAGTTGGTTC